CCGCCCGTTCCGTCCGTTCGGTCCGCTCGTCGGGCGGCCACGTGGCGCGCCGCCCGAAAGCGAGAGTGATTTGGCTCCAATCGCGGCGGCGGACGGTGGATTCGTGCGCAAAATTTGGCAAAGCCCCGCGGGGACCGGCCCTGCTGCCCGGCGCCCGGCCCGGCGAGCTCGACAGTGAAAGTGTGCCTAAAGCACGACCCGTCAAAGCCTAACTGCCACCCCTCGCAGTCGGCGCGGCGGGCGGCGCGGCGGGCGGAGCGCGGAGGGGGCGGTCTTGGCCTTGGCGGCCTCGCCATTACCCCCCTGTCAACCATTTATTACACCGCGACACACACACGTGACAACACTACGCCGCACGCGGCCCCGCGGCCGCACGTCGAGCTCCACGGTCTCTCTGTCTCTCTCGCACCCCCGCGGATCGCCGCCACGGGGGGCGAGAGAGAGAGGCTTTTCGTTCGGAGCGAGCCCGCACCCGGCGCATGGCAACCGGCGGCGCCAGCCTCAAGCGGCTTCAAGCCCGGCTCCAAGCCAGCCCTTCGAGGCGCCGAGGAGGTGGACGGCCCCGCGGAGCCCCTCACGCCCTCGCCCTCCAGGCCCAAGAGCTGCTTGACTCGCGACACCGAGAGAAGGCGTCAAATAATAATTCGAAGTGGTGGACGTCCTTTCTGACTGCCGCCATTGTGCGCGGCCGGCCGAGGGCCCCGAGGGGAGGGCCCCGAGCGGAGGGCCCCGAGGGGAAGGCCCCCGGCGCCCCCAGGGCTGCAGGCAGGGCTGCAGGCAGGGCTGCAGGCAGCGTGGCTCGTTAGGGCGAAGGGAACGGGGCCAGCACAGGCCATTGCTTTACTGGGCCGGTGTGGCGGCGCGGGGCGCGGCGACGCGCTGAGGCGTGCCTGCAGCTGGCCGCCTCCAAACCGCCAGGCAAGTGACCCCCACCCCAGTCCGTGGTCTGCAAGTGCAAGGACATCCCGAATGAGAGCAGCGGAGTGTGTAGAACGCGAATCCCGGACGGTCGCTGGGATCAGGGTGGCTTAGTGACTTGGGCACACGGCACAGCACGCGGCCACCGTCAGCGGTCACGCAGCCACGGCACGGCAGCGGCGCGGCCATCGCCGCGACACCCTCGACGCCTTAGCGAAGACACTACTTAAACACGCTGGCGGCTCCAATTTGCGGAAAACAAAAAGGAGGGTAATAAAAGAGGACGAGGCGCCGAGGCCTGCGCCGCTGGCGGCCGCTGGGCCCCGGCCAAGCCGACGGCCAAGCCCAAGCCCGGCCGACTGGCCAGCTAAATGGAAAGTGGAAGAGCATCTGCCAATGTCATCGGCATGCAACATTAACATCCGCGGGACAATAGGGGTCATTTCCTCAACAACGCCGCCGGCTCGGCCGCCGCCAACCAGTTCTCAGCCAGCACCTCGTCGCGACGCCCTCCACCGCGACGCCAAAGTGAGGGGCAAGCCAAGCCTTGTCTCTGCTGGGGTCTAAGGCCTCCGCCTCCACAGGCCGGGCGCTAACCAGGCCACCCACAACCCTCGACGCGGTGCTGGTCCGACCGCTTCGTCATGCGGGGCGACGTCTGCCAGCAGCCAGCGGCCACCAGCAGCCAGCGTCGTCCGCCGGCCCGTCTGGCGCGGCGCTGCGGCGCTGCGACGCACTCGGCGACGCACGCCCCGCGGCGAGGCAGCGGCCTGCTAGAGCACCTTCCGTGGGTCCATCAAGGGTCCGACCCGACCAAAGGTCCGCGGCGACTATTTCTGCTCCCTTTGAGGACTCCAAGACGATCAAGGGCGGCCCCGGGGATCCATTTGTCGGGGACGGCCGCCACCACGGCGGCCAGGATGGCCAGGACGGCGACGACGAACAGGTCGACGTCGACGACGACCCCTCGGCGACGATAATTGCGGCAGCGAAACGTCCCGCGTCACTCATTCATCTTTCCAACGCGTTTCCGCCGCCCTTTTTTCACTGGCGTGGCTAGGAGTGTCGTGTCCACGCCGCGGGGAGGCTATTTCGGGATGTCGCAGAGAACGCGCCGCGCCCTGCCGCGCCCCGCCGCGCCCCGCCGCCACGCCACGCAGTGGTGCGAGTGTAGGGCAGCGCGCACCGCGCAGGCATTCCCTTTGCAGTCAGCGCGGCGCGGCGCGGCCGGAACGGGTTCAACCGCCAAACGGCGAGCTGCTCGCCGAACGCCGCGCTCCGCATTGAATAAGAGGCCTCCGCTACGTCTCCGCGCTCTGCGCTCCGCATTCCGAGGCGCCGCCATGTCCGCCGTGCCGCCCGCGCTGACTAACGCACCCCGCCCCCGGGGGCAGCGCCGCGGGCAAGCAGGCTAGCAGGAGATGACAGCCATACGGCAGCCCGGCACACCACTGCCAACCCCACCAGGCATTGGCTCTACATTAGCGTCCTGGACCCAGCAGGGCTACAAGGGCTACAGTAGGGCCGCCCGGGCAGCAGGCGAGCGAGTGGACGGTCGTGGCGGGGAGCTGCTGCCGCGAGGGTCCGCCACCGCCAAGCAGGCCAAGCAGGCCAAGCACGTCGTCTGGCGATTCGTCGCATCATGGGCAGGAAAAAAGGGGGAGACGGGAAGGGGCCTTGCCAGCCCCGCCAGCCTCGCCAGGTAGGGCGGCGTAAGCTGGCAATGCGTCGTTGCGTCATGGTTTCGGCCTGCCCCGCCGTCGCCCCCCAGAGTAGCACGCGCGAGCGCATGCACACACACACACACACACACCGCGGTTACATTTGAGACCGACCACAGCCCGTACTGCAGCCACACGGACGGCGTGTGAGTCAGTGGAGTAGCCTTGCCTGGGTAGCGAGCGCGCGCGCACACACGCACACACGGCGCCATCTGCTCCCAGCTTGACACCGCGCCACGTCCAGCGGTATGAGTGTAAGATACATTGGTAGCGACGCGAGTTGGGTTCCATTCCCGGTCGGTGGCGCTCCGACGACCCCTTTCTTATTTTTTCCTGCTGTGCCGTGGAGTTTTGCTGTCGTGCAATCCACGTTGACGGCGCAGAACCCCCATCTGCGACCGCGACCCCCTTGGCGACCCCCCAGGGCCCCGCCAGGGCCCCGCCACCACCTGCAAGAGCGACAGCATTCCGGGACGGGGCAACGAGCCCTGCACTGCACCGGCCCTGCGCCCTGATTGCCAAACTGTTATGGTCCTGCAGGGGCAGCCATGCCCCGGCCCGCCGGCCCCACCGGCCCCGCGGAACGTTGGCACGACTTACTAAATTTAACCACGGAAGTAAGGGCAAAGCGCAAAGCCCGCGCGTACGGTCTGCCCGTCTGTCTGCCCGTCCGTCTGCCCGTCTGTCTGCCCGTCCGTCTGCCTGTCTGTCCGCCCGTCGGTCCGTTCGTCGCGGCGCAGCGCCCCGTCAGGGCGATTAGTAACGTCACTTCACTGTCAGCCCGCCTGCGACGTCGCGCTGCTCGCACTGTCACGCTGGCACCGCCACGCGGCCACGCCGATCTCCGGGCCGAGGAGCGCGCCGAACTGCATGTGCACCAATTACGTGGGGCGCCCCGGTCACTACACTGTGCAGCCCCCCTGGCCCCGCCTGCAGCCCCCGCAGCCCGCACCGCCAATTTCAAGGACCCACGGTGCTGCGCGCTGCGCGCTGTGCGGTAACGAGACGGCCCGATGGCGCGGAGTGGTCCGCTCGGCCCGCTTGACCATCTGGCGCGCGGCGGGGGGCGGTGGGGGACGGCGGGGGACTTGGCCCAGTCACGGCGATCTGTCCGTCATTGCGATGTGCACCGCGTGCCGGGCCGCGTCGCCGCGTCGCTCCGCCCTGCCGCGCCACACACACTGCGATTCGGAAACCAATTTCGCATTGCCAGTCCATCCGGCGGGCGGCTGCCTGGGAAAGGCGACGCGACGCGACACTGCGATTGATAGCCGGCAGCCTCCGCGGCGCATTCACATTGGCATTCGGCGTCCGCCCCGCACGCCCCGCACGCCCCGCACGCCCCGCCAGGCCGGGGCCGAACCGCGGGGCCAGGGACGGCAGCAGAAGGCACTCGTTGAGGGCGGCCAGGGCGGCCCCGCGCCAACAATGCCGGCGGGGCGGGGCGGGCCTCGGCGTCAGTCTGGTCGGTGCGTGCCAGCGCCGCGCGCGCCGCGCCAGCCCATTGTACGACAGGCAGGGCGCAGGGCGGGGCGGCGGCTGGGCCATGCCATGGGTGCCATGAGCCATGGGCCATGGGCCCCACTTCATGCCGCTGCCGGCGAACCATCATCCCCCGTTCTGCTCGGACGGACTGGCCGGACTTGGAATCCCCCACTCGACATACAAATCTTGGTTCCAGCTCCATTGGATTGGGACCAGCACATCAACTGTATACACTGTATACTAACATATGGACGCGATACAAGAGAGGCGCAGAGGTAAATTAGAATCATACATCGCTAACTTGAAACGCGGTTCATTTCGTTTGGAGGAGGAGTCTGCCCCCTGTCCAAGAGGCCGAGCAACGGCCACAACGGAAAGTGGGTGCAGAGAGACGGACAAAAAACCGAAACCACTGCCCGGCAAAATGTGGGTCAAAGGCCATTCGAAGCATCCCCTGCTTTCGAACAGACACAATGTGCAGTTGGATTCTCAGCGGGTAACGTGTCAGACAGACAGACAGACAGACAGACAGACAGGCAGGCAGGCAGGCAGGCAGACAGACTGGCAGGCAGGGCAGGCCGGCAGGCCTTGGCCGCAGCGCTGGAGTGGGGCGCGGTGCGCGGTGCGCGGTGCCGGCGGGAGCGCCCGGCGAGCAGGCAACCTGCACGCACGGCTGTACCGCGGCACGGCCTGCACGCAAGGCGCTCCCCGACGGCTGGACCACAAATGATCGTTTGCCTTGCGGGACGGAAGGACGTCAGATCGCCGCGGGCAGGAGGCGGTTTGCCCTCGTCGCACCGCACCCGCACCTGGGCGGCGGAGTCCGTCCGGCCGCCTCTCGGGCCGCCTGCCGAACGAAGTGTGCGGCGCCTTTACCTTGACAAAGCTTGCAGCGTTTCGGTGGCGGCGACTCGTCTGCTTGGAGGGAGCTCACGGGCATCCTGACAGGCTGGAGGCCCGGCTGCACCACGACCACCACGACGCTCTCGGCGCTCGGCGCGCTCACCGCGATGGGCGCGATCGGCGCGCGCACACCGCCCGGGCCATCCAGGCCATGCAGTCCATCCAGGCCCGGCCGGCCCCGCGAGCAGGAGCAGGCCCGACGAGCAGTCGCACTACATGGCGGCTAGAGAGCCTCGGCGGCCTCCCTCGCTCAGCCCATCGCCGGCGTCAAGGTCCGTCAGAGTCCGTCACGTCACGCCACCGGCATCGCCACACCGTCACGTCGAGCCGCACGCCGCGAGCCTCGCTGCGCCGCTACACCGCCTGCAGTCGTCCTGGGCGCGCGGTGCGGCCGTCGGTGCGGCCCCAACTGAGTCCGCCCCTCGGCCTGGCCGTCGGCCCGGCCCGCCGCACCACCACCGCACTGACTCAGCCCCGGCACCCCGCCCCCCGCCGCGGGAGGGAGAGAGAGAGGCCGCCCTGGGCTGCGCCGCGGCTGCTCCGCGCGAGACGCCGTCGTCGACGCCGTCCTCCGAGAGGGGCTCGCCCGAGATTTATCCACCGCGCCCCGCCCCGCCCTCGGCGACAACAACAAGGGTGCGTGCGTGCGAGGTGGGGTCGCCCGGTCAGCGGCGTGGGTTCGAGCCCGCCGTCGGCGATGGACGCGGGCCTGAAGCCCGAAGCAGGCCGTGCAGTGGGAGCGCACCCCGTCCGCAGTCAATGCGCTGCGTGCCTCGGACGGCCGGGGCGAGGGGAGGGGGAGGGGCATTAATGTCGTCATGATTCCTGGCCGAAAGAGCCACCCGCCGCGACGGGCTGACGGGCCGCGGGGAGGGACAGGCCAGACTAACCTAGTTCCCAGTTGACACATTGACACTCTGCTCGCGACGACGCGGCGACGCGGCACAACACCCAGCCTTACTGTCTCTAGGCAACGCATACCACGCGCGTGTGTGTGTGTGTCCTGCCGGTCTTTGAAAAACAACTGCACCCACACGCACACACCGCCTGCCACCAAGTCGACGCCGTGGTAGGTCGAAGCGGGGCAAAGGACTCGCAGCAGCCCACCGTCAAAGAGAAGAGGACATCTAGGACCCCCTCTGGGTAAACAAGCTGAGCCGAGCTGTCTGAGAGCTGTCTCTGGCGATGCCGCCACGCCGCCGCCGCGCCGCAGCCGCGCCGCACAGGTGTCAGAGGAGACACGCCGCGCGACGCTGCCCCCCCCCCCCCCCCCCCACTGGAGAAGCCGCGCAGCCACGGCGCCACCCCGGGCACTTGTTGCGCGGCCCGCTCCAGGGCCCAACGCGGCCCAACGCGGCACCACCCACCCCTGCAGGGGCATGCCGCACGCGCCGCCGGGAAGGCGTCCAGGCCGGTCCAGCCTCTCGCTCTAGCTCTCTAGCCACGCCTCGTGGGTGTGCGCCGACCCGCACGGCCGCACGGCGCGGCGTTATTTTAATTGTGTTTGTTCAAGAGACCGCCTCGATGCGGCCGCGCTGCGACCGCGTTGCCGCAGCGCGTTCTTGTGTCGGGTCGCATCGCCGCGGCGCCCAGCTGGTTTGAGTTATGCTCGTCTATTCTGTTTCCCCGCGCGACTCGCTCGCCGAGGAGACGGCCCGTTCAGCACTGTCCGCGGGCCGTGGTCCGCGTCGGCCGACCCGTGCGGAATCAGGGAATGTCCTTACCTTACTCATGGTGCGGGGGGGTCACCGGTCGCCATGCACACCTGCAAGCAAACAGACCATTACAAACAACGTCCCTGAGGGCCCTGAGCATGACCTACAACCTACACTACAACGACTGCAGCCCGGCTGCCCAGCACACACAAATAACCCGCTTCCACAAAAGCTGCCACAAACAAGTGCCCATTTTCCTGGTGCGAGGTCTAGGAACTCTGTTGCGCCTCCCCGCCCCACGCGCCGGCCTGACCGAGGGCCTGACGGCCTGACGGCCTGGGCTAGCCCCGCTTGCCCCGCTTGCCCGCACCAGGGCCGGCCAGTGCCAAACCGAGGCGCGCTTTACGGCCGTTTCATGAGTGTAGTGTTGGATCGTTCCGGTTTTGGCCATTGTTTACACCAAAAGGCTGCTCGCTGCCGGCCCGAGTACACGCGGTGCTGGCCGTGCTGGCCGCGGGGGTGCGGTGTTAGTCGCGGGCATTCTTCGCTACATTTCCGACACGGCCACGCCGCCGCCCACGCCACCCGCGCCACACTGAAAACTGAAAAGAGCAGCGAGGCAGGGCGGCAGCGCGCGGGGGTGGAGGGTGGCTCCGCTCCTCCCCCGGGCCGGGCGTCGCGACGCGTCGCCGGGCACCTCCGGGTTCCTCTGGAGTCCGGACGCGACCCGTCTGAGGCACGTCGTGACGTCCTCCTCCCCGGACGGTCCTCCCAGCGACGTAGTGCGACGCACTGCGGCGGCAGCGGCCGCGGCCAGTGACGCCTGTGACGCCACGACGGGGCGGGGCGGGGCGGGGCGGGGCGGGGCCGACCGCCAGACCGGGCTGTCAGCGCTAACCTATAAGGGACAGCTGCAGCTCCAAATTAAGACTAGCCGCTCCCTCCGCTCCACTCCGCGCTTTCCACCGACGGCCGCCGGTGGCCGAGGCGCTCGCCGCGTCGCCGCGCCGCGCCGCCACCGGGCGAGGGGAGGGGGCTTTCGGACGCCTTTTGCGCCAGCGCAGCCAGCGCAGCCAGCGCCGACGGCGCCGACACCAGCATCCGGCGGCCAACTCATTTCGCACGCCGGTTCGTCGCGGCCTCTCTCGCACCCCTACGGAACGCCCGAAGTAAGGGAGAGGCAGAGCGCCGTTCTGAAACGGCCTGCCGAGGGCGCGAGAAAGCAACCGCAAAGACAGCACCGCGGCACCGCGCACCCAAAGGGCGGACAACGGGCAACGGTCCCCGCCGCCGCGCCGCCCCGTCGGGCCGAACAAGCGTCCCGGGGGACTGCGGTGCGGAGGCGGAGAAGATTGGCTCGCGTTGGAAAAATTGGGGAAAAGTTCCACTCGAATAAGTGATGGGGGTGGCGGCCAAGGCGGAGAAGGCGGGGAAGGCGAGGCTCTCAAACGAGGGCCAAGAACCTGGGAACGACACCCGCGCGATAAAAGCGGAGCGGAGCGCGAAGCGGAGGGACAGTGCCACCGTAAATCTCGGGACGGGTGGGACGGGCCGGGCCGGCCGGGGTGCGCTTTTGTGGACCCCGCGACTCCCGGCACCGCGGCACCGCAGCCCTACGCCTAGTCCCGCCAGCCCCCGCACGGCACAAGTGCGCAAACGGCTTCGACGGGCCGCCCCTCTCCCCCGCGTTGGCGCCGGCCTGCAGGCTCATTCCGAACCGAGCGCTTTCGTCGCTCTGTCTCTCTCGCACTCATTGGGCGTCCCGAAGGGGTGCGAGTGAGACAGGGAGGCGACAGCGCTGTCCCCGCGGCCTGAGGTAAGCCAGCCCGGCCGGCAAATGGGCCGTCGGAGCGCAGGCTGGCCCGGGCTGGCCCTTGGCTGTCGAGGCACGCCGCACACCGCGCACAAAGGCGCCTCTGACACGGCGACAACACCGGCAGGGCAGGCAGGGCTGGCGGGCAGGGCGGGGAGCACGAAGGACTTGGCGAGCGAAAACAGGTAAAGGGGTAAAGGAGTCCGCCGTCGCCACGTCGCCGTAAACAACGAGGCGTTGGCAGCGTCGACGAGCCTGGCGGGGCGGGGCGGGGCGAGCACCCCTAGGCGCCTCCCGGTTGCATCATGCAAGGCATTCGGGGCGGGGCGGCCGGGCGGCGGGGCGGCCTGGCCCGTGCGCCGCGACGCCGACCCTGGCCTACCTCACTGGCCGACAGCCGCTATCACGCGCAGCATCGCGCAGCACCGCGACGCACCGCCACCCTGTCGCGCTAAATGACGCTGGGCCGTCTCGTTGACGGCTTGCTGACGGCGCCCCGACGGGCCTAAGTACCTGGGCCGCGCGCCGCACCAGCCGCCCAGCCCGGGCCGGGGGGCAAGGCGCGCTGCATTGTAAAAGGGCCTTCGCCAAAAATACCCGCCCTTTGCCGGCGCTCTCGCTGCTCGCGCTGCCCTCTGCGCCGCGACGCGCGACGCGCAGCGCACCGGCTTTTGATTAAGGAGCAAATTAGTCCCGATTGAACGCGGCAACGCGGCGCCCCCTCCCTCCCCTCGCCAATTAGCGGGGCCGGCCTCGGCCTCGGCCCGGCGCCACCCATCCACGCTCTTCCCAACGTTTCATCCCCAAACCGCACGCTTTTCCTGAAAACCCACTTCCTTCGTCAGAAGTTTTCGCCATCCGGCCAGCCAGCCAGTCGGCCGCAAGAGGCGGCGGTATTAGAGCCAGACGTCCAAATGAAAGCAGGGATCATCACTCACACTATATGCCTCCCATTTTATTTCACGCGAGAGCACGTGCTTGTGTGAGTGTGAGTGAGTGTGTGCGTGTGTGTGTATGTGTGTGTTTTGAATGACGAGTGTGCAACAACACTGTCACTTGGCGAGCATCCAGCCAGGGTATTAAGACACCTCGGAAGGGGGGTTCTTGTCGATCCTCACCCTCGGCGGCTCGGCGCCTCGGCGCCTCGGCGGGACTAGGCCCTCGCTTCGTTTCTGTTGCCCGTTGTTCGTCGGCGTCCGTTGTCGCCCCTCTTCCAGACAGACCACTTTGCTGCTATGGGCAACAGCCTGCCCTTGTCCTGCCCCGCCCTCCCGCCCTGCGCTCGCGCTGTCCGTCCCGCGGCCGTTGGCCCGTCGGCCGAACCACCCTCACCTCCCCTGGGACTTGGGCGACTTGGGGCACTGTGAAACGCCGCCGCCGCCAATGGCCGCCACTTGTTGAGAGTGCTTGGCGCTGCTTCGCGATGCTTCGCAGTGCTTCGACGAACCGCGGCCTAAGCGCCGGTTAAAAATAAAGACCGGAGCGCTCGGCTTTGCAGCGAGACAAGCCGCCCCGCCACGCGGCGCCACGCGGCGCCACGCGGCCACGGT